AATGGGAGAATCAGGACCACACCAGGCATAATCCATCCCTGTAAATAGTTTTCAAATTAAACTCATTTTTTAAAATTGATGATCAAGAAACTATGTATTAGACTTACTGCTTATTATTTTTGATATATAAAATATATGAACAGAAAAGAATACCTTTTAAAAATTCTTCCTAATTTTCCTTCATCACAATAGATTGTTCTACTCTAACCTATATCTTAAATTTCCTGATAATGCAGCTTTAAGTACGTGGGACAAAATGTGTTCTAGCTTGTTTCTAATTCTTATATATTAGAAATTAATGTTGAAAAGGAAATACTTGATTTGTTTCTTTATCACTGCATAAATGGCATTTTATCATCGTGAAATACATATTCAGCCATGTCCAATTCTATATCCTATAGAAGTTAGTAAAGAATTTTTCTTCTGAATAAATATTTACTTACTTATACAATTTTATATTTTATTCTTGATTTTTTAAAAAAGACTGAAATTTTGAATCACTGATTAGTTTACTACAGAATTTCTAGTTTTGTCTGCTGATTCTACTTTTAAAATTTTGGAGGGAGGGAGCAAATGAGGGTAGAAATGTTGTTAAATTGCATTATATCACAATATATTTTAATGTCCATTATTAAAGTAAATATATTGGTAAAACAATTCTTTGTATAGCTTACATTTCTCCTACAAGCAATTTATAAAATTATTTCAATGCATTAAACAAAACAAAGCTTCCTTAGATGTTGTATATGATATTTGCACAATGGTTTTAATACATATGGATTTAATCTTTTGATTCCAAAGACCATTATTTTTGGCTACGATATGTTAACCAAAACATGTTTCTTATCTAGTACTGAAAAAAAAGAAAAATAATTCTTAAGTCATAAGCCAACATCCAACAAAACATACCAAATCTTAAACAATTAAGATGCCTATCATTTACTTAAAAAAAAGAAAACAATAAATCTCTAACCACAGAAGATTAGATTTTGTCCATCAGTTAGCCAAATGTTTTCATTCCAAAGATATTAAGTATCCTTCTCAAACTCATTTTACTAGTTTGCGGCAGAGTCAGAATAAGACTACCAAGTTTAATCACTTTTGCATTTTACTATTCCATTCTTGAACTTTTAAAGACAGAATTACTAAAATTTTATCATTTTAATCACCTACTAGAAAAGAGAATCTTCTACTAGATATTAACCTACAACGAAGGAAGTGGTTACAATGCTATATACTAATATTCATCTAAGATAGCAAAGCAATGGCATTTACCTTAAATTTACGTCTCTGCACTGCACAGCTGTTGAAGAACCACAAGTCTGTCTCATGGCTGTAAATGTAACAAGAACAATAATGCGACCAATTTTCATACCTAAACTAAATTAAGTAGATTTGTCATAGGCTAGAAAATTGATAATGTATTTTACAAAAAAATAAAATTTATGTGTACCTGTGCATGCGTGTATGCATGTGTGTGCGTGTGTGCGTGTGCGTACAGTAATTTACTCTTTCTAATCTAGAAATTAGTTTCATGAAATTGAAACAATTACATATACTCTTTGCCTCATTTTCCTCATTATGGATGACTATGGGCACATGAACTCTAGGAAAGGCTAGGAGTAGATATAAATAAATAAAACAAATTAAAATGAGAGGGTGTTTTCATTGTTATCAATATGGTATGTTTTCCTGGAATATATAGCAAGAATGTAAAGAAGAAACATTTGGCAATGCTTGGGTTATTATCAGCTCCCATTTGCATCACAATCTTTATATATTATTCATCAATATGTCATATAATCAATGTACTACTGATTGGACCTATTAAACTGTTGTTTCATATAATGAATAGAATATGTAAACATGTTTCAAATACATATATTCAGATATATATATATACACGAAAGCAAAATCACTACTACAATTGGTACTAAACCTTGTGAAATGTGATGTTTTTTCTTTCCATTTTGCATAAGACATGCTAATATCTATGCCATCTGCAGTACAAAAACTTGGAAAAAATGTAAGTGAAAAAGTAATAGTAAATATTTGTCTGCTAGAAATAGACTCTCTACCATGTCACACTTCAAATCTGGCCACCACTCTTCAGATTTAAAAGAAATTCAGGTGAGTGTAACAGGCAACCGAATATTGTTCTTGTGACTTGAGCCATCAAAACAGATTTTTTAAAAAATCTGTATTTTCTTTCAAAACTTATAAAATAGTTTTCCATCAAAACTCTACTGTAAATGAAAAACATATAAAATCTTTTTTGGTCTTCTAAAGATATTATGCTTGATATAGTAAGAACTATCGTGATCTGTTAAACAACAAATGCCTTGCAAACGCAGATTTTAAAACTTTCTCAATTATTCTTTGAATTTTTATAAAATAATCTACACCAACTCTATACAAAAAGGTTGGTTAATCTTGTAGTTAAGTAGAAAAACAATTAGACTATGAGGATCATGTAAGAAAAATTTTAAAATGCTAACTTCATATTCAATGGTGAAAATTTTTTTAATGGTTAGAATTTTTAACAAAATTATTATACCTTTTCTTTAACATAAGTGGAAAATAGTGCAACTCACACTAAATAGTATATACAGATGCAATGATAACTTGTAAAACAATAGATGTGTAAGCTACTATAAAATACTATTAGGTTTTCATTAGACTTTTATTACAACCCCAGAATGTCTCCAGTTGCTAAGCTTATCAACCATTGGGAAATACTAAAAATGTAGGCTCACATTATATTAATTTCAGCCTATATTTTGGGGAATAAATAAATCTTCATCCACTATTTCTAAATTCTCTTTCATAAAAACCAACCTCTCATTCCTATGATATTTTGGCATTACCAAAAAACAAAACTAAAAACAAACCCATTACCATCGAGTACAAAAATAATAACAAAATGCTACAGGTTTATAATCCATTCAATGGATATACATTCATATTAATATGCATCACAAAGCACTAAATATAAGTGACCCAATGAAAGTCTTTGCGGTAACAGTCAGCAACCGAAACTGTTAAAATGTATTCACGATACTTTAAACAACCTTTCGTGATAAAATAACAAAATTAATGACTTCTCAAAATTAGAACATGAGCAACAATTCCTCATTTTAGTGCCATTAATATTCCTACATTATATGTATGTGTGTGTTTTCCAGGGAAAAAAATGTATATTTTAGTTAAGCAAAGTATCAAATCTTGCCTCCCTTTACAACAACAACAACAACAAAAGAAAGAAAGAAAAATTGAAGACCAGTCATTCTTTCCAGAGATACCCTGGTAACCAGCAATAAAGAAACTTCTACTGGACTTAGCTTTGGAGAGGAAGAAACAACTGTTAATTCCTCTATTTTGTCAAGAGACATGATAAAATAGAATTAGGATAATATGTAGTGTTTTTTTCAGATTTTTGATAGACAATAACCTCTTTTCTAACTTTAGCTATTGTTGCCAGCATCTAAACCTTCTATTCTATATCAAAAGGAAACCAACATTCCCAACCTGAAGCCATAATGAAGATAAACATTTCATTTGCTATCATCTGTGATTTCTATGTAATTTTTTCTCTGTCATGTAAATGAATGGAGAGTCACTCAAGGAATCAGGTAACTGATGAAAATACTCCAATCAGTGTTATTATTTGGGGAAGGGATGTGATAGTGAGGAAGGTGTGTTACTTCAGAATTACTGATTAGTTGAAACAAAAGAATGTGAAATTTATCTTAATAGGAAAAAAATAAGAAGAACCGTGAACTCAGACTAATTCAATAAAGCTTTCATTTGCAATTAAGGCAGTCACCTCAACACTAGAGTCTACTGAAACACAATCTCTATTCCCAAGTTCCCCCTCTCCCTCCACAATGGGTTTGTTCCCAAATAAAATACATTCTCTTCTCAAATTTGTCTAAGAACTATAAATTTAATCCAGTTTTTAGGTAACAAGTAGTTTCTGGATTGTATAGATCAGTAGCTATAACTCTCTGACACACAAACGAAGCTTTAGAAGGTCATCATGTAAGACTAGGTTACTAACATTTGTGAGTATACCTGAAAATGGAAACAGAAAGCAAGGCCACAAAAAATCCAAGATTGTTTTGTTAAAATAAAGTTTCATGAGAGATGTTTGTGCCTTTTCTTAAAACTAAACTTGTTGTCTTATTAGATATGTATATAACAGATGATACAGGAAAAAGCATTGCTTATCTTTCAACAGATCTGATAAACATTTCAAGAGGTGTTCTATGCAACTCCAGATCTACCTTCCAAAGATTTTTTAAATATACCCTACGGATGTTTTTTTCATCCCAGACAATGTCCTATATATTTTGGCTAAGAAGAATATATAAAACAATGGTTACATAATGAAACAAAAAAGTTACTTTAAAACACACAAACACACACACACACACACACACACACACACACAATCAGTTTCACAGGACAAACATAGTGCGTAAGGACAACAAACTCCAGAATGTGTTTTTATAACTGTAGCAACAGCAATAACTCCTTGGCAAACTCAAACAGTTTTTTTGGCAACCGTGGAGGTTTTCTGCATTTGTCACTTGGATACAACTGCAACATGGATCGTCTGAGACTGCTTTGTTTCCTTCCACAGCATTTTACTATGATTTTGCTTTTAAGGAAGAATTTTCACATTTTAACCTATTTGTGAATAAAGTTCCATTAAAAACCCACAAGGGAGTTTTATACAAAAGTCTTTATGCCTATGAATACCAAATGTGGTTCCTATATAATTTTTGCACTGAGTGACCTTGTAAACTTTTTAAATCTATGCTAATAGAAAAGTATTTTTCTCTTCAGTAGATGCAATGAGTTCTATTTTTGAATTAAAATTACCTGCATATGTGAATGTAATAATTTCCTGTATATATATATATAACCGAGTCTGCACATCTGTTATCATTATACACATCTTTTCAAATAAGACCCCAAGGACAGGGGTGCTTTACTAACCTGCAGTGGTCTCTGTTTATCACTGCTCTTTGGGGATTTCAATCCACTTGTTTGCTGCTGTAAGAGAAGTTGTCTTGCTGCCTGGAGAGCCTAGAAGTAAAAATGTAACAGTATCTAAATATTTTGTTGAAAGGTAAACTGATTACCAGTTATTCTTTGGCTAATAGTAAAAGACTCCAATATATGAGAATCCCTCATTCTCCTTCCTAGAGGGAACCATTAAATATTCTTTTTTTTCTATAATACACAAAAAAAAAGAAAAAAGAAAAAAATTCACATAACACACATATATGACTTCACTTAAAATCATGGGGATGCATGTAGTCCTGCAGGAAATAAAGTTAATTTGTTTAAAGTGCTTAAAGAGGAAAAACCATAAACTGCATCAATAACCTCATTTCCACAAGGAACTTGTCTTTGAGTGTTCAACTAAAATGCCCACTCCCTTTTAAATTATCCTTCAATTTGCATTTCCACATTACAATTTTGAAGCAAAAGCAGTAGACTTCAAGTGTTACCGGAAGCTGTAATTAAATTTGACAAATCAACATCAGATTATCTTGAAAGTGAATTAATAAGGATTTTCACTAAAGATTAAGAACACTTTTTTATTGTACTTACAATTCAAGGGGAAACCTCTCCTTTGACAAAATAAAGTGCAGTTTTAATGCCAAATAAAATTGAGTGGTTTTCATTTGCATTCTTAGCAAAATCAGAGAACAAAGAAATTACCACTCAACCAATCAGGTTTGTTTCTGTGTGTGACAGAATACCAATCAAAATAGAAGATGTTTTCATTTATTTTTATGTTTTCTTTCCAGCTCAGGAAAATAAAACTGAACATAAGAAATCAACGTGAGCATTTCATCTGCTGGAAGAGGGGCAGTTTGGTGAATGTACTATATGAACTTATCATAGAAAAACTGGTGTCATTAAGCAGAATGCATACTGAGTTATTTTAAGGCAAGCAGTGTAAACGAAAAAAACTTTTTAAGAGTCTCTACTTTAAAAACTCGTTTTCTCTTTCAACAACTGAGTTCAATGAACACAAGAGAGAAAATTTTTCAACATATAAAATGAAAATAAATCATTGCCCTACTTTGTTGTGAGTCACTATTTTAGAATGCAAGAGAAATTTTTCATGATGGGGAAAACATCATTAGATCAACATTATTCTATAATAAGTAAGATTCTCAGCTGATAAAAAGTACAATTTTGATTGGAATCAATGATCTGGTTTTTAAGAGAGTTTCTAGTATCCATGACAACAGTTGCTTTGACAAGATGTGCATATGGCATTACACTGCCAGCTGGTGTGAACAATGTTTGAACTACTGCATTGAGATGCTGAGCAAACAGAAAAAGTTGCCACGTCTTAACCCTCAGGGAAGGCAGTCATCCCCTGATCAATTATGAAAAGACAGAGAGAGGGCTGCTACAGTCTGGCTCCAAGCAAGTTTTCTGAGAAGGCAGGCAGACATAGAAACCAAAGTAAACAAACTGAATGCACTAGCACCATCTCCTAACAACACTGATTTGTCTCCTATAGCAGGATCTGGCAGAGTTTGTAAAGCATACTTTTTACATTTGGAGACACACTCATTCCCAACAATCTTGTTTTTTAAAAAAATTATAAGTAATTACAAGTCAACCAAAGGGTACCATATTCCAGTGAACTCAGGCAGTTTATTATAGAGCTTAGTTTGAAACAAATTTTAAAAAATAATTCCATAAATACTTTGTTATCTCAAAACTCACTACTTGAAAACTTCACTTGGTATTCTAAATAATATAACTTTCTTCTTTTAATCACAACTTACAAAATAACTACAAATGATATTTTTCAAGTGGAAATCACTACAGTATGACATAGGCTATGCCTATCTGAAATTCTCAAAATTAAGAAAAAAAAAAAAGCAGTCAACTATTTTACTGCTTTGATGCCCAAATCCACACGGTTTGCCTAATTTTTTCATATAATTGTTTTCTCGCTTTTAGTTGATCAGTTTATTTTGTATATATACAGCCTCATTTCTACTGAATTCTGTAATCATTTATTATCCTTGAAGTATTCTAATGAACACAGTTTAGAATCCTGGATTCATGAATGATTACAACTAAAAGCAATCTTAGAAATCAACTAGTCTGACCCCTTCATTTTAGAAAATGAGAAAAATGAGGCCTCGAGTGGTCAAATGGTTTATTCAAGGTCACAAAACAATTTATTAGTGCTTTGTTCAAGGTCTCCAGCTTTCCAGGCCAGAGTACATTCCAGGGTGCCAAACTCTCTGTTCCGTCAAAGGAACTGTTTGATGGCAATGAGTAAAACTCTAGTAAAGGAGAACATATGACACCATAATGACACTATTCGCACTCGTAAAGAGAGCATCTACATTTTCTCAGAACTTAAAAAGGAAACTACCTATAATCTTTTTGTCCTGAATTTGTGTTTGAATAGAATAACTATCACAGAAAATATATTGTTTTTAGGTTAAATGTCCTCACCATTCTTGACTTGGATTTCATCACACAATCCACCAATACCAGTTGGAATTCTAAACTCTTATAACACTCTGACCACTTGACCAGGTACTAATAAACCAAAATCAAACCCACTGTCGTCGAGTCAATCCCGACTCATAGTGACCCTACAGGACAGAGTAGTACTGCCCCACAGGCTGGTGAATTCAAAGTGCCCAACTTTTGGCTAGCAGCCAAGCTCTTAACCACTACACCATCAGGTATTACTAACAGAAATGCAGAATTCTTGAGCTGGACAAATCTTTAGAAATTGTCTAGCCTAGTTTATCATCCTGTAGACAAGTAACTGATGACCCAATACTACCATAGCTTAATTAAAGTCACAAAGCAGGAATGCAGCAGAGCCTGGTCGACAACTTAGTCTCTTGTCTTCCAAGCCTAGGAGCATGTCTATTTCACCATACTTTATTATATTCATTCAACGCAACCCAAACAAGTAACCCAAGATATGTAAATACACAATGGCTATAGAAAGACACCAGAAAGTTCAATACATTAGAATCTCAGCCCATCAAAACATCAGGCAAAAGCATACACTTACACTGTTAATAAAGGAGTCAATAATAATAGAACACTGCAAGATAGCTGGCTAAACCACACTTCTACTTATTAAAGTACCTTGGTTTTCATATGCATTTACAATTTTCTTTACTGTAGTTGAGGATCATCTTTCAATACAAACTCCAGGAAAAATACCTACTTGCCTATTTTGACATTCTTTTGGTATTGGTAGAGATTGCTATAGTAAACATTAGAGGTGGAAGGACAAAAAACAATTCCAAAAGATCAGGAATGATTTAAAACTCTTAAGCAGAAATCTTTGGCAGTGTGCATTCTAACTGCAGACATCACATGACATTTTTATTTCCAGTATTCTGCATAACACTTTAGGACTGAATTTCAATAAACAGTTGCTCAGAGACATTTAGTTCATCTTTATAATTTATTACTGTAGCTACTCAAAAGATGAAAGATTATGAGATAAAACACGTCCATCAATATAAGGTGTTAGGCGTCAAACTGTATGAAATATTAATTTGAAAATCACTTGTCCATTTCAATCAGTAAATAGAATAGATAAATTCTAGGGTCATTTCTAAAGTTCTATGAATCCTTTAGGTGTTTATATGATCACCCCTTCTCCCAAAATTAATTTAGACCGAAGGCGAAAGATGTTTACAAAATTTCTTTTCATCATGGCTGAGTCTGATTCAAATGAACGACAACAAGAAAGAGGTTTCCAAGACAGCCAAACCATATCTAATTTCCCCAAACACACTGGTTTTGAATTAAGGGTGCACTTTATTTAATGAGGTTATCTAATTTTAGTAAAGCTTAAGAAAACTAAGATAGGACATTTAAAAAATTGGAATCAGATTAAATTAAAATATTTTGTAAAAAATGAATAAAAATCTTAGTAATAGATTAAAGGTATACATTTTGTGAGCTGCAGAGGTGTGGGAATGCACGTTTCAATGCAGTTTGCTCTTAAATTGAAAACTAAACTAAACTTTTGTAAGAAAAGCAAAGCGCAAGCACAGCAGTAACAACTTTATACTAGAGATGCATCTCACAGTCAAAGTTTCATTTTAATGAGTAGGTCACTGTGAGAATTAATTAAGCGTCTTGCAAAAACTTTTTGTAAACTTTGTAAGATCAATACTTTGAAGAAGTTTGAAAACTTTCACCAAAAATAAAATTATTTGAGAATAGTTTAAACACACCCAGTGGAAACTAAAAAATGTTCCATATAATAAGGTTTATAAGTAACTTCTTTTTTTTTTTCCAAAGTAAATGCACGTATATTTTGGGGGAAAAATAGACATCACTCATATCTTTCTCTATAAAAACAGGAATGCTTAACCTATCAGCCTGTTGCATTTGAGACATTAAAATGAAAAATGACATCTACGCCCATTAATATCTTCAATGTATAAACAGCACAGCGTGACACATTCTTGAGAGCTGAAGGCTACAAAATCTCTCTGAAACATAAATAACAAAGCACTCACAAGCATATTTGATGTTGATATTCATCTCTGAGAAAAACACTGCTGCCTAGGCTTCTTATGAAAATAGATGCAGCCCAAATGGATCTCCTGTAATTGGTTTCAGATAGCGAGGTCAGAAGAAATATGATACAAGAAACGATTATGTGGAACAGGCGAAACAAGAATGTTTACACAGGCACTCCCTAGTTATACTGACAAGGGGTGTATACTTTGCAGATAACCAGAACCAAAAAAAAAAAAAAAATCTGCCAGCAGGACATCCACATTTTTGCTCCTGATACTCATATATTTTAATCTTTAATATATTGTCTTTAACATGTTACTTTGAATACTGAACATAAAATAAGTTTTCAAACAGAATTTTTATCCTAATTATTTTCACAAGCGGGGTTGATAAAAAGCATATTCGGATCCTTCCACAAAGGATACGAATTCCTATTCTATTTTGCCTTTCCTTGCATTATGTTCCCACTAAAGGGAATGTACTGATAAATGTAATCTGAAGTCTCATAATGCTATTTAATAGGAGAAAATTAA